GCGACGCGACGCGACGCGACGCGACGCGACGCGACGTGACAGGACACGACGGGGAAATTACGGAGCGCCGAAAGTTGTCACACACGTGCGTACGCCCACCGCTTTAAAATCGATACATATTTTATCGACCGACTAACCGGCCAACCTAGCCAGCCAGCTATCTGGCTGGCTGGCTTTACGTGGCGCAGCGCGCGGGCGAGGGTGCACACAAATGAATGATGGGTGGGCGTGTCGGTTCATCATCGCGTCACAATATTTGTACTCTTCACGAGAGAGGGCCTGGGAGGACGCGCGGAATGATTGTCTTCGTTTAATCAGCGCCGCTGGATGGATTGTTTCGGTGGATGCACAGAAGGGATGGTGATGCGCGCGGAATATGCCTCACCGTCGTCGCGATATAACCAATCCAACGACAAGTTTCTCGATAATCTCGTCTTCTAAATTTCCAACGTAACCTATTGGCTCCAAATGGAGAAAACACTTGATATCACTTGTCTAAATATGGTTGTATAACAAAATATTAATTATTTCCACTCATGCAATGGCTCTTATTGGCCATTTTAAATGTGGCCATCATTTTGTTATGCATCAGAGTCAAAATATTAATTATTGTTTCACTCGTTACGCTGTTCTGCAATTACTAAAAATCTGTACGAATTTCCCGTGAGTCAGTCAGGATTAGAAGGAAAAATCGAATCATTCACCGTATACTTCTGGAAATGACTCTCGTGCAAAAAACGCGCTCGAGTTTCGTGCGACTCGCTCGAGCGACGTTTTCCTTTCTTTCTCTGTCTCTCTCTCTCTCTCTTTCTCTCTCTCGCAAAATCACGACACCGCATGTGCGCGTTTCATGAAAGAAAGCGCCGTTACGATGCGCCAAGGGGAGCACGGGAGAAGAGAAAGAGAGAGAGAAAAAAAGAGAGAAAAATAAGGCGCAACAAATTACGAGGCGTTGCGAGCGAGCGCGGCGATGTTGTTTGTAAAACTTCGTCAATTAACGAACGCATGGCGTGCGGCGCGGCGATTGCAATTACAACGGAGGAGACGACGGCGCGGCGGGCGGTGGAAAACTTTTAAATCCATCAGCAGCCTTGCTCTATCGCGCACCAAGGAGAAAGTGCAACGAGAGGGACAGTGAAACGTCAATGCACAGAGCGCTTCTGCACCGGCTCGCTCGTTGCATCCCGCGGATTACCTGCCATGGGAGAGCTTCGCCTCGGAGCGTCGCGTCGAGCTCCATTTTCTACCCAAGTCCAAGAAGCGGACTCTCTCGCGTGAGGCCGGCTCGTGAAAGTCGCGGCGAGTGGCGCTCGCTGGTGGAGAGAATGTAAAATTGTCGCAAAAATCTCTTTCGCGCGAGTCACATACTTCAACTCTTGACACATCATAATAGTATTTAATTAAAAATTAAAAGATTAATCTTCTCTGTAAAAAGACTGTCTCCTTATATTTTGGATTACCTCTAAGGAAATATAAAAATCACAAAACATCCTTACCAATTGATGGGACTAATTTTAACTTAATTTTTTCTATAAAAAGATTATCTCCTAGTCTTTTGGAAAACTTGTAAGAAAATATGAAAATGTCAAAATATTAACTCTTGCAAATTGTTGGAGTGAATAAAGTACTTGATGGTATAAAGGGTTAAATCGCGAATATACTATAAATCTTTTTATAGATAGTATCGCTTCTCCATAAATTTCTCAAGGAAGACCGTCGCGCGAGAACAACAAGAATCGATCGGATTCTCTAGCGACTCTTCCGGGAATGCTTTTGCGTAAAAAGGCAAAAAAAGAGGAAGCTACGAGGAAGTGAGCTCGGTAGCCGTGATATTTAGGGGGATCGCACAGGGGAGATGTATACCGCGAAAGCGGACGTTCCGGCCGCTTTCGTGATCGATTCCGCGAATAACTCGCGAGTGTTTAGTCAGATCAAATCGCAGCACCAGGAGTCCGAATGATGGAAGAGGAAGAAGAGGAGGAGGTGGAGGAAGAAGGGCCGGCGGTATCGAGTTTCCGCATCGGTACTTCGGACGAGGCTGCTCCATCTACATAGGTGCCAAGCCGAGTCGCCAAAAATAGATCGAGTTCACACGAATTCTACGAGCCGATCGCACGAAACCTCCGGCGGCCGTTCGTTCGTGATATCGATCGAGCGGCGTCCCGAACGCCTACGACGACGTAGACGACGATGGGGAAGGCGAGAGGGATGATGACGCGCGTCAGACAGGAGGAAATATCGCGTTGGCGAAAACGCGATTCGATCTTCTTTCGTTCCTTACAAACATTAATACCTATAGCACGAGCTAAATGGTGCGCCCTTGTGTTGTTCTATAAGATACTTCCTTTGATTAGGCACGATCAATTACTGTACTTGAATTTGAACGTAGAGGTGATTTCAGTAACAACTCGATCTCTCTCACAATAGATGTACACTTAGCGAGTATTAAGCACTGACAGGAGTCTGATAGACTACCAATGAAATAATAAATTGCTGTTTCACTCCCGCTTATACATATCGCGTCCGTCTATCTTCTCTTTGGCCCGTAAGATACGAAGTGGCGACAAGGAAAGACGTTTCGCACACTTTCTCAAGTAATTATCAAACTTCGAAATATTTTGCTAAATCTGTGTCAGTGCTTAAGGGTTAAAGTTTGTTATATGACATATGCGTAAGGATGATGCGGTCTTGGTACAACTAACTGGACCGTATGCCCAAAAATATCCCTCTGCTTGTACTGACAATATATACAGGGTGTCCCGTATCACCTTCACAATCTCTCATGAGGACGTAGAGCGGATTGAGATGAATACAAAAATCCTATACCATTTTGCGATATTCGCAATAATAGTCGAGATATTAATTAAAAAAGATTGGTGAATGATAATGCGCGATATGGTAGGTGAGCTGCAATTGCGCCGTCTGCCGTTGTATACTTGTACATTAAGTCAAACTGAACAAAAAAGTCCTCTACCATTTTGCAAATAATATATACATAGATTTTTAGATATTAATTAAAGAAAATTTTTGCATTACGGTACATAATCATGTAACAATTTTCTTTGATTAATATCTAAAAATCTATGTTGTCACTTGCAAAATGGTAGAGGACTTTTTTGTTCAGTTTGACTTAATTTACAAGTATACAACGGTAGACGGCGCAATTGCAGCTCATCATATCGCGCATTATCATTCACCAATCTTTTCTAATTAATATCTCGACTATTATTGCGAATATCGCAAAATGGTATAGGACTTTTGTGTTTATCTCAATCCACTCTATGTTCTCACGAGAGATTGTGAAGGTCATACGGGACACCCTGTATATCTCTCTCTCGCCTTCACTCTCCTTCTTCGACATGACTAAGGTTCACCCTGAACGGCGGCGAGATGAATTCCCCGGATTCATGTCGGGAAAGGATCCCTTCCGCGCGAAATATTGTTCGACGGACGGTTGCTCGATGCGCGACGCTAATCACAGCGGCGCAGAGGAGCACACAGCTCCGTGTATTAATCAGCGGGTACAGGAAATTAACTTGGCCTTGTTTTATCTTGCATTCTGATTATCACACGTCTATATACACGCGCGGTGTACACCGCGAGAAATCGCACCTTACTCCCGTATCTCGTTCTCCTCCCGCGTACGCGCTAATTAAGTATGTGCGCCTCGCGCTCTCTCGCGCGGAGGAAGCGATCAAGGACGCGTTTGTACGGATACGGGAGGCCGACGGACGTGGAGTTATTTTTTCCTCGAGACAGCGATATCGGTCTCGATATATAGAGTTCACTGTCTCGACGGGTGTGTCTGCCTGTTGTTCCGTGTTCGCGGAACGAAACGCGTCAAGCTAAACGCGTCTCCTCGCCATTTTTCCGCAGCATTGCTTCGGATCTAGTCTCGACGACGGACTCGCGTATGAGCAAAGCGAACGATCGTTCTTGCGAGGTCTCGAAAACTCGAAATTGTGCCTCTTGACGTCGCTTGACTGTCAGGTAAAAGTACCAATGCCTGAACACCTACCTTACTCTGAATATTCTCATTTTTTGTTCTGGTCCTTAAATACGAATATTTTAACTTTCAACATAGAATACATGTACGTATATATACATGTTATATTTACTCAGTATGTTTACATATTCATTAAAGACTAAAACGATAAGAATGTCCAGTGTTAGGTGTACGCACAGAACAAAATATTTCAATGCGCGCAACCAATCATGATTTGCTGAAAACGTACTTGCTGACTAGAAATTTGCAGCTGTAGCTAAAACTTTTGCTATTATATCGATTGGCGCAACCGGCCCCAAACGCAAAATACATATTTCTGCAAAGGTAACGGTCCAGGACTTAGCGAAGAAATGGAGTCAAACTGGTTTTATAATCAACGCACAGAGAGTGAAACGACGAACTGTACGCGCATACTAGAAGCTGTCACCGACGTAACGAATCGTACTATTACTGTTAAAGTGTATTTTGCGATTGGGGTCGCCACCCTATATGTATGCGCCTATTGGCAGTTATACATAGATCCTTATTCTGAATCTTCTTTTATCAGGTACTTCTAAATGTGATTTACAAGTCTTCTAATTGGCTTTCAGTCACATTTAGAGACTTGATTTTCCAATAATGGTTTAAAAACTTAGACTTCAGTTCAAGCACATTAAACACGTTGTTAGAACAGAGTTTAAACTGAAATCTAAGTTTAAATTGCTATTGTAAAAAACGGCTCGTGTAAAGGTGCTTTCATCGATAAAAGAGAGTTCAGAATGAAGGTATCCATATGTTACAACATGATTGAACTATCGCACACAGACTCTTGCAGCTAACTTTTCTTTTCCATGCAGGCAGTGGCGCTTGAACCTTCCTATGTTTCCGCCAAAACACGACACTTGGCCGAATTTTTGCAGATTCGGTCGACTAACTGTTCTTCACCTCGCGAGAAATGATCGCGTGGCCTTTCGCTCGAGCTCGCTCGCGGAAATGACAAAGCTTAGGTACTTACAAGGCGTCGTTTCGGCTTGATGAGAGGTCGATTCTGGCCGTTCATCTTGTAGTAAAGGCCGCAGGCGTTGCAGAGGTAATGGCCGGTGCCGTCCCGTCTCCAGAGGGGTGTCGAGGTGGCGCCGCAGTTGACGCACTCGCGACCCTCTACCGGGATTGCCATCCCGACGGAAGGAAAGTCGTGTTAATTCGGCGCGAAGGAAAATTGCGTCGTGCCCACAACGGCACGCACACTCGACTACTATATATCACTACTACTATCCACGTCCACGCGCGAAACGCGAGATAGAGATCAGTCGTGTCGCAAGAGACACTACCAAGGTAGGAGAGGAAAGTTCCTTCCCTCCGAACTCGATCTCGATCTCGATGTTTCTCGCGCGAACTCGAAGACACGTTGATCGACTGAAGAGTGACGGCGATTTCGCCTCGTCGATTCTTCCGTTCGTGTTCACACGATTGCCCGTATCCGCCGGATCCGTCGGGAATTCTCTTCCCGACGACTATGTTGCATTCCGCGACCTTGCTCTTCTCTAGAAAATAATTTGGAATATTGATAATATGAGAAATTTTCTTTGCTGTTGTTACAGAAATTGGATAATTTTGTCGAAAGAATCGCGCTTGTTCACTCGGCCAGATGTCAAAACTGGCAATCTCGACACCACGTGCTCAACTTCGGTGGACCAACGTGCGTTGTCTTAGACGTTAAGACTTTGCGAACAGTCAGGTGACTCGTGAGAGAGAACTCGCATGCAGTTGCAGACATACCATATCAAGCGATTACCAGAGCAAAAGCAGAGTCTCTTTAAGACCATGGACGTTTTGTATAGGATTCACGGATCGAACTTACGTTAGTGCGGTCGGTTAGTCCCAAGGACACTGCGGGAGAGAGAGACAAGTGGACGTTAAAGCGATCAGGGGGGACGGATTCGCTCGCGATCGTTTCTTCTTCCCGGTCTCTACGACCAGGTGACACGAAGAAGACGACGACGACGACAACGACGACGACAACGACGTCGCGTTGCGCGCACGCAGGTGTCCAAATTTACTTCCCACTCGTCACGAGAGGTGCGACACGTACATAAATTTTCGCGAAAGAACGCAAAGTAGGTGCCTCTTCGCGGAATGGCGATGAGAAGTAAATATGGATCCTCGTGATGCGCCATTGGACAAAGAAGGTTGGAGCTAGACTAGAAATTGACCTCATAGCCCAGATTGATCCCAATAAGTTGCCTGTTCATATACAGTAGATCCTTATTATTACACTCAAGAAAATATAATCTCACCCTTAGTGGAATTCTCTCGTATATGGCCTCAAGAGGATTCTTCCAAAAAGAAAATATTCTATAAGCACAATATTATTCCTTTACATCAGGAGAGAAATATTCTTTGAAAATTTTCGCTTAGAATACGAGATTATATCTTTTTTTTCTATGTGTGTTATCATATTTTTCTTTCGGTTTTAGAATTCTCTTAAGACCACCACATAAGAGGAGCCAAGAATAAAATTATATTTTTTATAAGGGTGTTATAAGGTTTTACTTACCATCTAAATTTTCTAACATCTGTATATTCTGAGGCATCAGTGCATGTTTAATATATACGGACATTAATGTCCTAGTTATCTCCTCTAAGTGACAGAAAGAACATCTTGTAGGTTCTAAAGAGGACCTTTCGGCAAAGTTAGTAGGTTAAATGGAATCAAAAGAATTTAGGCCTTAGAGTCTCAAAGTAGGCATTAAATATTAATAATTTACGATTGTCACGCGTTGCGTTATATGACTTTTAACAGAACTTGATAGAATCGATTCATTCAAAGATAACTCTGATTGGGATCAATCTATAGGATACATTTCTGGTCGGGAATAAAGGCAAAAAGGATCGAGGACTCGAGGGAGGAAGGTAAGATCACTTCTCCCGAAATCCGCGTCTCTCGAATCGTCCTCCGAGCTGCGTCCTCGCCGGGCTACGGCCGAGATTATCGGTCGCTACTACTGAAAAGGATTCCTATTAAGCTGCGTCGTCGGGTCCGCTCGTTGGCGCACGAGAGAGACCGAATTGCCGATCGCGCGTTTTTACGCGGTTGTACGAGATCGAGCCGCGATTTCGGCCGGACGTAAACCGCGCCGGAGTGGCTGTTCATCGTTGCTGAAACGACGCTCGTAAAAGCCACCCCACTGATTATCCACGATTAGCGCACGGCAGTGGCGAGGTGGTCCCTCGACCGATCATCGAAACATGCGTTTTTCGACTACTGTTATTCTAACAACTCATATAACAACGATAATAATATTAACATTGTCTTTTTCTCACGATTTCTCAGATGTAATAATAATGGAAGAAAGATTGCGACGTCTCTTTACTTCGATGAACTTTGCAAAACATTCGATATCCAAAGTGAAAGTTTATCCTCCGAGAATCATCGAAAGATGAATTCTCCTGCTGGATACTGATGTGTTGCGAAGCTCATTGGAAAATAGTGGATTGCACTCTTCGTTCCATTGACGACACAGGGTGAGTAAATTTTCACTTTGAATGTCTTCGAAGCAAAAAGCAAAGGTTCTACACTGAGAAAAAAAATACTTGGTAATTACTATAATGGTATAATCACTATAAGTCAAGAAAACTACTTTTTCAATTAAATTCTACTACAACGTTAGTGTTGATAACTTTCTATCGTCAAATAAGAAAACCTCCCAACTCAGAGGAAATTCCAATCTCACAAGAGATTTTCCAAACGATGCTCAAAATCGGGACGAACGAAACGAAATTCCTCAATTCCATCAAGAATTTGAGTCAGAAAATTGTCTAATTTGGCCGACAATCGATTATACATGTTATCGCCATCATTTTATCGCAAAAGATATAGTTGGGCCCAAACAAATATCTACATTTACAGTTAGATCAACCATTTCTCTACCTCTCAGTGTGCAGACCGTGCTCTCTTCGCGTGACATTCAAAAGTTCCAAAGTTCGGACGACGTCCACAATCGCACGATATCGATTGGAATCCTAGCTGATTAATGACTCGACCTCGATTGAACATGAAATTCGACGGCGGTGGCGACGGTGGCGGCGGCGGCGGAGTAATTCTGGCGCACGTGACGTAGGTCGCGTGTAATTGTCGACACGCGAGCGGCTCGTTTGCGAGTCCACCGTATGCGCGCGGATGAATCCATAACGGAGCAATCGAACGTCCGTCTTTTCCCTTCGGTTTCTCGCGAGTCTGATCGCATACACAGGCACGCACACATACATACACGAGAGACGCTTCCGAACTAGATCCTGGCCGTGACTGACGCTAACAGGATTCGACCGGGGTTTAACGCACGCCTAATTGCCGTTTCGGTGCTCAGATCGATCCCGGAACTAATTGGAAGGTCCCACCCACTCCAGTCACTCTCTCTCCCTCTCTCCTCCGCGGTGCTTCACACACGCACAATTCGATTTGGGTCTTACCGTCCGGCAGATTCCGGGGGTGATAACGGACACCCACACGTCGACGACCGCGCGTCGAATCTCGATTCTTCCCCGCGCCCGACACAACGGCATTAAACGCGACGAATCTTGACCTCGTCCCCTCCCCCTTCTTCTTCCTCCTCTCTTTCTCACTGACCCGACCGCTATCCGCGATCCGATTTCGATAACGTCCCGTTGCTGGTCGCCGATTAAATCCCGCGCGGGGCCCGCTTTATTGTTTACCAATTAACAGGTTCGCGTTATTCGCGTGGGTGAGTAAGGCGATCGTGGGCGATCTCGATCTTCCTCCGCGTCATTTACTCGTTCCTTCACTGAGAAAAAAGATATGTTTGTAGCTATAATCACACAGAGATATTATCATAATTACTGTAAATTATGGTCGAGAAGACTGTTATTCTATCAAATTCTATTACAATGTTAGTGACGACAATCTTGTGTGTATTTTACTATTACCATTTCTGCGTTAGAGCAACCGAAAAATATTGGTTAGGACCCAAAGTAACTATAATTTTCGTTAAATCGACCGTTTCTTTTTTCTCTCAGTGCTGAATGTAATTTCTCTCTTTCTTTCAGCTCGCGCTTGTAGGGACGATCGATCTCTCCGTTTTGCGGAACATACTATCGCCGATAATAATTTCCTCCCCGCGCGCATTTCCTTGTATCGATGCCTTCCGACTATCGATCCGTCCGCGATAGGCGGAAAGTCCCTGACAGACGGCCGACTCTCCTCGAACGGCGGCAGCCGATGGATATCAGCCACGAAACGTCGAGGTGACGCTCGTTTACGCCGCTCGAAATATAGTCCTCATGTCGCGAGGTGACGCTAAAATGGCTGGTCTCACCCCAACAGGGCCGTATCGCCCCCATTTTCGGCGTCACCTCCGACCTTAACCGCCGTGCATCTGCGGGGGCGAGCTCGTTAGGCAGCCGCGCTTCTGCTCGTCGTGCCTTTCCCGGATTATCCTCATTTTCATAACACGGTACCGGTAACGGTGCGTACGTCTGATTCAACTCGGAGACACTCGATTTTCGTGATCCTCGGAACTCGATACGGAGCGTAGCGAACGTTGGACGAGTCGCAAAAAAGATTAGATTAGATTAGATTTAACGTTTCTTAATTTCTTCCCTGTTCTTTAACGTTAGTAAACCTAAAGCTTTCGTCTGAACCTCTTCAGGGATAAATTTATTGAAATCAGAAGAAGGTTATTCTAATTTTGAAATGACATAAATATAACATCTGTCAATCTTGTGGCGAGATTCCCTTTTTTATGGGATTTTATAGTGAATAGTTGCAGTTATAATGTAAAGTCACAGTGCTTCAAATTGTCATGATTAAGAATCACTTCACAGTTATGAGAGGAGCCGAAGTGACAGTACAGAGTGCGACAATAAATTCGGAAAGGAGAATTTACTTTAAGAGAAAATGATTTTGGAATAATTTTTATACACTTTAGAAAGCAAGATGACATGACAGTATGTTGAACGGACGTCAGCAGTGACTCTCAGTAGTGCCAACTTCAAGCACTGCAACTTTATTCGGCAAAAAGTGTGCGTTTTGCACATGTGTGTCAATATCCCCGAAGAGATTAGCCTTCCTGCAACACGCCGTCGAATCTTTCGCGCTAATAAAAAAGAAAAAAAATGCTCGCGAGTCACTATCCCCCTCCTCGCCAAGGTAAGTGTTTTACGACGTTCATCGCGGCCCAGGGAGGTGTACCTATTGTTCATCGCGGAAACAACGGGCGAGGAGGTATTTAGGGCCGGAGCCAGACCGGTGGTCGTTGGAGCGCGAAGAAGATCGGACGGAGAGGAGGAAGGAAGCCGCTTCTCTGTCCCGTGCCACTTCTGTCGAGACAAACGGCCGAGTTACGATTCAGTACGAGGGAAGCGCCGTTCCGTCACGAATTTCGCGCTGGCCCACGACTATGTACCTCACCTCCTCCCTCCTCTCCACATTATTTCTTCTTTCTTCCCGTGTTAATTGCACGCCGTTACTCTGTGATCTGACGCCACCATTCGAAGCTAACGGGATTTTCCGTCAAGCTCCCGCCCCTTCCCTCCCGTTCCCCTCTCGATGATGACAGTCGACCGTTTAGCAACCGATACATCCGCGTGATTTATTATCGATCACCCAGAAAAATATAATCTCATCCTTAGGAATCTTCGTATATACACTGAGAGAAGAAATATCTAAAAATAAAAATATTTTGCGTATATATAGTTAAATTAAACCATATTTAATATAATTAACCATATTTTTTAGTTTCAACATGAAGATAGCAATATGCACATATAAAATTATTATTACTAAAATTATAATACAATTAATTAAAAAATGGTTGTCTTGAACATCATTTATAGTAATCATTTCCCTATATGATTATAGTTGCAAGTACCAAACATTTTTCTCTCAGTGTTGACTTGTATTCTGGCAACCTTAACTGGAATCTACTTCATCAGAGACATTTAGTTAATCCAACCAAATGTTTTTCCCGTGTACACCGTTAATTGTCACATTTCCCTCGCGTTACCGCCCGAATCGCCCCCACCCGAACGATCTCGTCGTTTCGCTCGTCGGAGACAAGGCACGGAGGCAATAATCCTGGGAGGAGACCCGCCGGTATATCCTTCGAGTTTCTCGTTCCACCGCGACTCCTTCTCACCGCGCGCCCACGAAGGATATTTGCCAATCCCGCCTGCTTCTCGCGCCGTCGGGTGCGTTGCTCAATCAACTCGGTCTCTCAGGTGTGTCTGTCTCTCTTTCCCGACGGACACGCACCTGCCTATGATAACATCGCGGAGGCGGTTTTTCGTGGCCTTCTCACGGGCGATTTTCCCCGCGGCCGATCAGTAGGCGTATCGCTAAACCGAAGCCGCGGGTGCCGTCCGTCCGTAGCTTCTCCTTCGTCATCGAGAGAGAGAGCGCGCGCGCGAGACCGCGCGTCGCTGATGTGTGTCGTAAGTCGATTCAATTAGCGGGCTTCCATGGCGCGAAGCCGGGGGCCATTGTTCCCGGAATTGGGATTTTTACCACGCCGCCGTTGCCGCCGCCGCCGCCGCCGCCGCCGCCGTTGCTGGAGAGCCACCGGCTATTATTACCGCAATCAGCGTATCCGGCATTTTTCAAGCGTTTCCCCCCGTTCACGACCTCCTTCGTCGACGACGACGACGATCACGAGGAGGAGGAGGACGACGCTGTGCGAACGTTATCGCAGAGCGAGCGAGTGAACGCGCGCTATAATTTCCCGCAAGTTCGACGATCGCTCGAGGTGACTCTGGTTGCTGTGCGCTCGCCGTTCGCTGCGCGATTCGATTTGCAATGATTACGACTCCGCGAACCCGCGATCAATAGAACAACGCTCGCGCGCGATGAGAGAAGAAAAAAAAAGTAACATGTCGGCGGGAGCACGCCGAAAAATGGTCCGTGGACTCTTTGAGAGGGAGCTTTGCCGTGACAAAAACAAAAACGCAGCGATAGCCACACCACATCGAAAAAAAACCTGTGCTCTTTCGTGTCCTGGCGCGCGCGTGTGTGTGTGTGTGTGTGTCTGTCTGTCTGTTTTTGGATGTCAACGTACGCAGAGTCGAGGAAGAGAAATTGCAATACTTTTATCTCGATGAACTTCGCAACGTGTCATGGATCCCCAGGAGGAAAATTTATCTTCTGGGAATTATTTAAGAAACAAGTTCTCCCGTTGGAAAACAGACGCGTTGGGAAACACATTGAAGGAAGAGGTGCTGCAATCTTCTTTCCACTGTGCTGTAAGGGTGTGTCTGTATTTTGTCATACATATATGTGTGTATGTGTGTATGTGTGTGTAGACATATCGTATATATCGTGTGTCACATCTCGGTAAATCGGGTGTGGTGCTTGACGCTCGCTCTCTCGTGGGTGCCACGCAAAAAACACATCAGTGAGGCAAAATACAAAAAACCACAGAGTTCAGTGCCTCCCTCCCTCTCTCTCTCTCTGTCTATTGTGACACAGCTCGTTCAAAAAACGAGAGAACGGTGGAAAAAAAACGTGTTCTGAACGAACTGTAAGCGTAAGACGACCGCCACCGAAAGCTCACGGTTAAAATAAAAAGAAACAATTCAGGAAAGAAGACAGAGTCTTGAGTGAGTCAACGAAATTGTCGACGGCCGTTCCACCTGCGTCCTGATGTCCGTTCGCAAAATGTCCAGACGGCGCCGCCGCCGATATTAGGGGGAAGAAAGTGCCTAACCGAATGGACATCGAACGAACAAGGACACGGGCGGAACTAGAGAAGTGTCCGCGAGAGAGACTGAAGGAGCCTCTTAATCGAAATTAAATGAAAATACAAACCGATAAGAAACTCAATCAAACGCAACACGGGAGAAGTAACGTAAGAAAATCAGGAACTAAACATACTGGCGTCGATTACGTTGAAAATTTTTACGTACTCTATAATTTCACGAGAATACAGATCGAACTTCGCGACTAGATACGAGAGTGAAATGAGACAAGATGCGTCTCACAGAGAGACGGCGTTTGATAAAACTTTAGTCCCGATAATCGACGCCGGGGTGCTGAGAAGCGGAACCAAGGATGCCAGAAGCAAACGCATAAATAAACCAAAGTAAACAGAGAACGGAAACAAATCAGATAGAAGAAAGAGATAACTAACGTCTTACACAAACGGAAAAAAATGAAAACATCGCTCGGCCTTCGATACGCAAAGAGGAGAAATCAACGAAACTCAACGTACCAAATGAACATAAACCGTAACCGAAGGACAGAAACGAAATGAAGATGAAGAAGATGAAGAAGATGAAGAAGTAGAAGAAGTAGAAGTAGTAGTAGTAGTAGTAGAAGAAGGAGAAGAAGGAGGAGAGAAGAAGAAGAAGAAGATGAACAGAAAGAACCGTGACAGCAGGCGTGCCGCTTACCGGCGGACGTCCTCGACTTGTTCCTCGGCTTTTGCTGCTGCTGCTGCTGCGCGGACGGCGAGCCCGGCGTGTTCCCGTGCGCGGCCGCGTGACCGACTAACAGCTTCGTGTCGGCGCCTCCGACGCCGGTTACGCCGGTCGCGTTACCGGCGGCACCGGCGGCGTGGTGACCGAAAATACCGGCGACCGCACTGCCGTTGTGCGGATTGTGGGACGACGCGGCGGCGGCCGCTGCTGCGGCGGCGGACGACGACGAGGAGGACGACGCGGCGGCGACACCGTGATGATGATGATGATGGTGATGGTGGGTGGCGGTGGGATACTGCAGGTGCTGGTACATGTTGTACGCGGACGCGGCCGGGTCGTACTGCGAGCCGGAAGTGGCATGGTGGCTGTTGGACGCCGCGGCTGCTGCCGCGGCTGCAGCCACGGCCGCGTAGCTCTCTCTGCAGGGTGACACCGCGCCGCCACCACCACCGCCGCCGCCACCAGTGCCACCGCCTCCGCTACCACCGCCACCGCCGCCACCGCCGCCGCCGCCACCACCGCCGCCGGCAGGCACGCCGTTGTTGCTCTGATACGCGTCCTGCTGCTGTTGTTGCTGCTGCTGTTGCGTGGCGCTCGCCTGTTGGCTGCCGGCCGTGACATTGCCGGACTGGTTATTACCTTCTCGCTGCTTCACCTGGCCGGACGAGCCGTTGGTGCCGGTGGGGCCGTTGCTGCCGTTGTTGGTGCCGTTGTGCTGCTGGTGTGGCGGCGAGGGTGCCCCGTGATGGTGGCCGAGCATCACTGTCGGCTTGATGTCGCAGGAACCGGCACCGGACGCGCCCAGTGCGTCCTGGTGGTGCATGAAGGCGCCCATTGCCGCCACGTGCGCCACCGCCGCTTGGTACTCGCTGGCACCGCCGCCCAGACCGGACAAGGGGTTGCCGCTGTTGTTGTTGTTGTTGGCGCTCGTCGAGTTGTTGTTGTTGTTTGTGCTGGAGGTCGTGCTGGCGGTTATACTGTCGGGCGTAGCGTCCTTGGGCGGTGTCGGCGGAAAGGAGAAGAGTGTGTGGTGTCCTGCGCTACCGTGGCTCGATAGGCTGCCGGTGGTCGCCGGCAACGACGACCCCAGCGGGCTCTGCGGCTTCTCGTCGCTCACGCCGCCACCCGTGGTCGTCGTGGTCGCCGGGAATCCCCAGGGTGTCTTGGAGGTGTCCGCGCTACTGCTGGACAGCCACGGGTGGAGCACAGAGCCGTGAAAGTGCGGCCGGCAGACTTGACTCACCGGCCCGCTCGATACGCCGCTGCTCGACATCCTCGCTGGAAAAGACAAAGCGGAACATGGCGCGTTAGAGATGGCGGAAGTAACGTTACCAAACCATGAAAATACATTGTTTCAAACATTTACATTTGGTGTTTGCGACGGTGAATAAATATTATGATCCTAGTGATATAATATTTCATGTCTTATTTATATATTGTTAGTAACAATTATATAGTGTAGTAATATTATTTTCCTCGTAACACACGAACGTTTAATGTACGTAAAACCTCAGAAATAACAATTGTAACGCATAATGCTACTTTTTTGTTAGAACAACAGAAAATATAATTGGCACTGAGAATGACTGCAATTTTAACGAGATTAACTAGATATTGTCTGTCGCTGTAATGTTTGTCACACAAATTAATTTTCATTACAAAGCTGAGATTCTTATGTCATCAACGAGGCCGTTACGAGATACAATACGTTTCGCGATACGATCATTCGCGACTCGATATTTTTATTTCCAAAGGAACACACCGAGTTCGACAATTCACCTCAGCAATCAAGGTAAATCTGATCTGTCGTCGCGAATCGCTGTGAAAATTTTGGAGAACACCGTGCGAGAACACGTTCGCTCTTGAATGAAGAGATCGAGCGAGCAGGTGGTCCCTTTATCTACGTGCAAAAGTCGATCACGCGTTCCGCTCGCGGAGGTCGCTTATCTGGAAACGGTAATCGCGAGTACAACAACGACGGCGATCAGTCGTCCTCTCTCCGTGAGGAGGAACCTGATTCGTGCGTGCTCGGAATGATCGGCTTTTATGCCGATCGTAAAGGCCACCTAATTGCGACGGACGTCTTAATTAAGTGCGAGGCCAACTTGTGCTCGGCGCCCGGGCTGTATTATGGGACTTCTTCCTCTTGTCCTTATAGGCGAACGCGCGCCTACTGTTGTCTCTTTCCCCCTCCTTCTCCCCCCTCGAGTTCCAAGCTACCTGCGACTCTCGTCGCGATAAAGTCATACGACTCACCCGCGCGTAATTAGTTCCTCATTAGCGACTTTAATATCACCGTATTGCGTGGCTCCTCGTGACGCGCCGACGAGATGGCGTCGCGTGCATCCTGGCTAGACGGTCACGAGGACGGCGACAAGCGTTTGTCCGTGTTATCGCGCATATCGACAAGAGCAGAACGCGCGCTACGCGACGAGTCGAGAAACGGTAGCGTTCGCCCGCAACGCAGGCAAATTGCACTGCGGAGCACGAATCCGAGCGGATGTGTCGCGTGTGAAGCTCCCGGCTGAGTAATGATTCGCGATATACCGTCGTGAACTTTTTATTGTCAATAATTGCCGCTTTATCTTGGAATCGACTCGTGCATACGTTCTTCGCGTTACGCGAAAGGCGAGAAAAATCGTAAAGTTCACGCGTGATATCCTTTGTGTATGATATGTTCAGTTAGTGTATTATCGTGTATATATTTGCCTCATAATCGAAAGAATTTTCTTGTGACAACCATATTTAAGCAAGTGATACCGTTAGTGTTTTTCCGCGTATATATATTTTAGAAGCTGAAATGTGCTATTAAAACACTTGCTATGTTTTTAGCGAAATCTGCTGTGTTTCTAGTGAAATTCACCATGTTCCTTACTGAGGTGGATCTTACTGATAACTACTTCTACTTCTGGATTACGTAAAATTGGAAAGAATTTATATGAAGCAAAAGAAACAATATTTTCTCCGTGCATTCAGACACAAGTCGATACCAGCTTCATTCTATCTTTGTTTTTCATTGAAAGTGAAACAAAAGTAGTATGATGCATGTGTCAACTTTGCGTTATCTAATGAAAAGCCGTTATAAAACAGACGGAGATGATTTTTCGCTCGAGATTGAGACACAGCTAACGTTCATGAAGATCATGCGATAATTTCGTTGTTAGAAATATATACCGTGCTTTATTTTTAATGCGAAGACAATGATACTACCATCATAGCGAGCCCGACGCTTGTGACTGCAAATATCTGGCTGTAATTATTTCGCTACGCAATTACACATATGATATATAAAATTAGGGGGCGACGTTCGCAACGCAAAAGTGGTCGGGTAGTTACGGCCATCCTGCGACGATACGGTCACCTCTGTCATTAACTGTGGTAAAGGGAGCTCATAACGCATCAAATTAATTATCCCCGGTTATTATTCTACAACGACGACGACGACAACGTTGGTCCACCTAATTAACCGATCTCCATCTTTTCCCGTCAGCCAGGAAGGCGCAGCGTTCTTAATGCCCGTGCAAATTTGCGGATGCACATTGTTGCCGGCGAATGCCAGAATGCATGCGACGCATGCAAAGCTGCTTACTTGCTGGACTGGCCGAGGCGGCCGATCGATATATCGAGTGGTTTTTACCGACGCCGTTCCGCCACCTTCAACGGCATACGTTAATAACAAGAGGGTGTGTGTTTTGCCAAAATCGCATTTCATCTCCCCCCCCCCCCTCTCTCTCT